GACCCGAAAAGTGACCCCGCGGCGGGTCAGGATGCAGCAGCCACGCCCGCCTGGAATGAACTTCCCCACTGGCTCGCTCTCGGGGTCCTCCAGGCTGGTCTCCAGTTCCTCCTCGTCTTCTTCCAGGCATTCATGGCCACCAAAGGATTCGGTATCCAGAACTGAGGAAACAAAACCAGTTGAGTCGGGCGGATAAGCTGGGATAGCTCCCAAACATAGGTGGGTTTCAGTTCTGGGGCAACCAGGGCATCTGCCCCAGACCCTGTAGGGCAGGGGTGTCAAACATGCCACCCGGGGGCCGGATGCGGCCCTTGGAGGGCTTCTATCAGGCCCGCAGTGGAACTGGCTGTCTTCTGCTTCTTCTTCCAGTTTTGCTGCTGCTGCATCATCGTAGGTCTGCAGCTTACAGATACACACCTGAACAGCATACTCAAGATTGCAACGGCACAGACATTTTGATGCGATTTCAGCGCAAGGGGTGTCAGTTATCAGGCACTGTTCAATAAACAAAACATTGCAAGAGTGCTAATGTTTTAAGCATGTTTTTACTTTAAGTTAAAAAGAACAACTTTGTGTTTGTGCCTTTTATAAAGTTTATATCTCCACTACCTGGCATTACATTTCATGACATACACGGCCCGGCCCAACAAGGTCTAATTTATGTCAGATCCGGCCCTCAGAACAAATGAGACATTCAGAGGTGGTTTGCTATTGCCCCTGGACGTCCTTGGGGGTCTCCCATCCAAATGCCAACCAAGGTTGACCCTGCTTAGCTTTGAGGCTCAGCCCAACCACCTCATCAGTGTTCCCTCTAAGCAGAGTTAGTGTGAGCTAGCTCACTTTTTTTAGCCTCCGGCTCACAGATATTTTTTTTGGTCTCCGCTCGGGAAGGAGGGCTCTAGAGAAAACTTACTTATACAGCAGCCAAATCGCTCGCTCACCACTTGAATGACAGGAGCTCACAAAGTAGAATTTTTGCTCACAAGACTCCACAGCTTAGCGGGAGCGTTACAGTCCCTCCACCCCGCACTGCCATCGCCTCTGGAGTCCTGGTGGGGCCGGAAACTGGGCGTCCAAACAGTTGGGCGGGCTCTGCCACCTCACCCACTGGACCCAGTCATTCTGGGGCTCCATCTTGGAGTTCTGCCCAGGGCCTGAGAAACACGAAGGCTGCCCCTGCTCCCCAGATGAAGATATTATTTTTTAAAGTCTTCCTAAGCCTTCCGCTTGTCAGAACCCACAGCTAACAACGAAGTACACGCATTCAGGAACGGTTATACTTTTATTGCAAAGCTATAGATGCAGTAACACAGGCACTGTTAAGAATGGCGGCAACCCATAGAGCCTAATAGGATATAGGGTATTCGTATGCCCCCCCCCCCCATGGCATGGGCCAATTAGATACCCTCCCGCGCGCAGGACAAGTTAGGAAACTGTTAGGTGGCTAAAGCTGGGAACCAGGAGATTTCCAGACAACACAACCTCCTCCTGCACATCTGTTGAGATAAGAGTTTCAGCACAGGCAGAACAGCAGGGATAGGAATGCAATAGCAATTAACCAGACACAGAATGAACTCCCCAACCCCCATGGCAGCATAGCTGACAGATAGCATCTCCCCTGCAATAAGTCCCCCTTGCTATCCCCAACCCTTACATCAACTATTGATCTCTTGATCTGCAGTCAAGAGACCCACACGTTCCGGCTCGTTCTGGTAGTGTGAACTCCCTTTGTTTCCATTTCCCCCCCTCCATTCTTCATTGGAACAACCAAGCTGCAGGACAGATAAGTATCGCCCACCCTCACCCCTACCTGCTAATGCAACTTTGCTTATTTCCTACTGTAATTCTTAGGAACTTGATTGAATGTGTGAGTGCATAAGTATTGTTTGTATGAAATATATTTTCAAGTAAAAGACATCTATTTTAACTACAACAGCCTCGAATCCTTTACTGGTAACCCTTGGTGGGAACAGGACCTTGGTATAAACTGGCAAGAACCCATTTATAAATTGCCAATTGCTGTAAATAAAGCAATTCGGCTAACACTTCATATGCTGGTCAAGAACATGAGAAGGCATCCTGACAGACTGAGGGCTATGTGTTTGTCTACAAAACTATACACTTCCCCAGAGAAATAACTACAACTTCCTACAAAGGAACTGTGCTGGGTGAACTTGGTCTGGACACACACTCTCAGCCTAATCTTCCTCACTGGCTTGTTGTTATTCCTCCTCTAAAATAGTTCACATTGCTATCTTACTGAGAAAGACTGGATCATAAGGGCATGAATACAGTGAAAAGGGGGGAGGGAACCTAGTTGCACCCAGGAGAGCCCAGACATAAGGAGCCCAACAAACACACACACACTGTAGCAAGGCACACAAATGCTCATACTGTGAACAAAATGTTGTTGGTCTTAAAGGTGCTTGGTATTCCTCCCGTGCGGCTGAGGCAGCCCAGCAAAGCAAGCTCTCCCTTGTTCCCTCCTTCCCTCCCTTCAGGGAGGAGCCTTAGCCAGTAAAGTGAAGAAAGGTTTCCCTTTGTCTCCTGCAGCCTGGCCAGGAAGCAAGCTCTGGCTGTTCCCTCTCTCCCGCTGGGAGGAGGAAGGGGAGGAACCTCAGCCAGTTCTTTACCAGACTCTCTCAATCACACAGGAGAGGCCTGCCTATCTATCTCTCCTGTGCGACTGAGAGAGACTGGTTAGTTTGCCTCTGGCGCCCTCCTTCCATCCTGAGCGAAGACAAAAATGTGTGAGCTGGAGGCTAAAAAACTGTGAGCTAGCTCACACGGACTCAGCTTAGAGGGAACACTGGAGGGGGCCGTGTTCCCTCTAAGCTGTGGAGTCTTGTGAGCAAAAATCCTACGTTGTGAGCTACCGGCATTAAAACTGTGATCGAGGGATTTGGCTGCTGCATAAAGTAGTTTGCTCTGGAGCCCTCCTTCCTAAGCCAAGACAAAAATGTGTGAGCCAGAGGCTAAAAAACTGTGAGCTAGCTCACACTACACTCAGCTTAGAGGGAATACTGGTGGGGAGGGGGCCAGGGGGCTCATCCATCCACCCCCCACCCCCCACGGCTTGGTGGGGCGGGTCTGGGGTCCCCGATCCCCCGTACCTGCGGCTGCCATGGCCCCTCTTATCCCCGGCGCGGCTCGCCCATCCTGGCCCGGGGCTTCCTGCCCGCTCGCCTGCCTTCCTTCCTGCCTTCCTTCCTTCCCCGCCTTTCGCTCCCGGCCCGGCGCAGCGTCACGATGCGGCAGCCCGAGAGTCCAGAGACTGTCCCCGCCTCCGGCAGCCCAGGCGCCCCGCGGAAGGACGGCGGAGGAGGAGGAGGGGAGCAGCGGGAAAGGGCGCAGCGGTGGGGAGGAGAAGCAGGGGGCAAAGCGGGGAGGCGGCGGCGGCGGAAAGCGAAGGGAGGAGACGTGGGAGGGGGAAGGAAACGGGCGGAGGGAGGGAAGGGGAAAGGGAAGACAAGAAGAGGGGAGGCGAGCGGGGAAAGGAGGAGGGGCGGGGAAAGGGGAGACAAAGGGAACAAGGAAGCAACGCTCCCTCTAAGCTTGCTCACCGTTTTTTAGCCTCCAGCGCACACATTTTTGTCTCAGGAAGGGTGGCTCCGGAGCAACGCTCCCTCTAAGCTGTGGAGTCTTGTGAGCAAAAACTCTACTTGGTGAGCTCCTGGCATTAAACGTTGTGAGCGGGGCGATGTGGCTGCTGCATGGATTCCTTTGCTCCGGACTCGCAGTGCTCCCTCTTAGCTGAGTGAGCATGAGCTAGCTCACCGTTTTTGAGCCTCCGGCGCACAGGTTTTTGCCTTCGCTCAGGAAGGATGGTATTAACACATGGCCTACAATGTGATGTAAGCTCAAAGACTTTGGCCACCCAATGAGAAGGGAGCCCTCACTGGAGAAGACCCTGATGCTGGGAAAGATTGAAGGTCAAAGAAGACGGGGACGGCAAAGGAGGAGATGGTTAGACAGTGTCATAGATGCAACGAACATGAAGTTGAGCCAACTTCAGAGGACGGCAGAAGACCGGAAGGCCTGGCGGGATCTGGTCCATGGGGTCGCAAAGAGTCGGACTCGACTGTGCAACTCAACAACAACAACAACAATATGATGGTAGTTTTATTTTGTTTCAATGTAAACATCATATGAATTCATGAGGATCTATGTAGATCCTTTACCTTTTTCTGCACCGGGCCAAACTAAATTATGCAGCAGCCAAACCGCTCACTCGCAACTTGAATGCCAGTTGCTCACAGGGTAGCATTTCTGCTCACAAGACTCCACAGCTTAGAGGGAGCATTGCTCCGGAGCCACCCTTCCTGAGCAGAGACAAAAATGTGTGAGCTGGAGGCTAAAAAACTATGAGCAAGCTCACACTGACTCAGCTTAGATGGAACGCTGGAAGGAAAGGGAAAGGAGGAAGGAAGAATGGGCAAGGAAAACATCAGAGAACTGGAGCAGCAGGAAGAGAACGAGAACGTGTGTATTTAGAATCTCAGTGTTCCCTCTAAGCTGAGTTTAGTGTGAGCCAGCTCGCTGTTTTTTAGCCTCCGGCTCACACATTGTTGTCTTCACTCAGGAAGGATGGCTTGGGAGCAAACTGATGTATGCAGCAGCCAAACCGCTCGCTCATAGCTTTAATGCCAGGAGCTCTGACAAAGTAGAATTTCTGCTCACAGGACTCCGCAGCTTCGAGGGAGCATGGATTTCGATCCAGGTAGTCAGCCATGTTGGTCTGAAGCAGTAGAGCAAATGTAGAGTCCAAAGGCACCTTTAAGAGCGACAAAGGCTTGTTCGAGGTATGAGCTTTCCTGTGCCGCGCGCACTTCTTCAGATACATTGGAATGGAAGACCCAGAGGAGTGAACCAAGTTAGTCCGTTGCTGCAAAATAGTAAAAAGCCTGGTGGCACCTTTAAAGCTAACAAACTTTATGATAGCATAAGCTTTCGAGACACACCCCAAAAGAGCTGAGCAAAACAGCTCAAAGGAGGGAGAGAAAAGGAGAGAGGGATGTGTGCCTGCACCGAAGTCTGTGACAGAGTTCCACCTGCCAGTGCGTGGGGGGGTCATTACTCAGAACTAGGGTTGCCAACTCCAGGTTCAGAAATACTTGGAGAGTTCACTATAGAGCCTAGGACACTGGGGTTTAGGAAGGGGAGGGACCTGGGCAGTGTATAATGCCATACAATCTACCTCCCTTGTCTCCACTGCAGACATTTTCTCCAGGAGAAGCAGAATAAATGTTTTCCCAAAACATAAACCAGCTTAGTGTAGTGGTTAAGTGCGCGGACTCTAATATGGGAGAACCGTGTTTGATTCCCCACTCCTCCACATGCAGCCACCTGGGTGACCTTGGGTCAGTCACAAGTTCTCTCAGAGCTGTTCTCTCAAGAGCAGTCCTTGAGAGAGCTCTCTCAGCCCCACCTCCCTCACAGGGTGTCTGTTGTGGGGAAGGGAAGGGAAAGGAGTTTGTAAGCCACTCTGAGACTCCGAGTGAAGGGCGGGGTATAAATCCAATCTCTTATTTTCTTCTTCTAAATAAATAAGTGATTTATGTAGTCCAGAGCTCAATTTTATCTATTATTTATTTGATTTATACCCCACCCTCCCTGCTGGAGTAGGCTCAGGGTGGCTTGCATAAAAGATTAAAACAGATACAAACAGAACATTAATAATACATTTAAAAGGGCTAGTTTCGGGATTCATATCTCCAGCCTTGAGGTTAGAAACCCTAACAGGCACATGAAAACCAAATGTCTCTTTGACAGCTGAAAGCAACATATTAGCCACCAAGCCAGAAGAATGTGTCAGCAAGCTGCCAATATGTTTTTCTATTCTCTGTGTATGTGCTTGTTTGCTTTCGCTTTCCCATGTATGCCTGTTTATGCGCTTAATTGCCTAGTTGCAGGAACGTCCGTATCTCTCAAGGCCACAGGTGGTTGCTGGCGGGTAGTAGCTTGGGTGATCTCCTGGCACTATCCATGAAAAGCAGTATGTTATGATTAAATAAGAGCGTTGCTTCCCAGGCTCAATGGCGCGTGCGGGAAGTCCCGCAATTGGGCCTCAGCTTTTTGAATTTACTATAATCTATTGGGATCCATGCTTATGCCTCATTCTGAACAGTGATCCTGTTATGCACCTATTGCTTCAAATAAAGTAAAACCTTTTCCTACAAGTGTGTACTTCGTTGATGCGATGGGAGTCTGACAGAATGATTAGTCTCTTCAATGATTATTTTGTACAGGTTTCGGCCTTCTGACTGGAGAGAGCTCAGAAGATGATTTATTCCAGGTCTTGGTGAAAACCTGATGTCCCAGCCATTGATCACTCAATGTTGTCTTTTAAGAAATTTATTTAGAATCATTCTAGTTATTTTTGAAGATACTGGATAAACAAGAATCACGGTTATACGGAAAACACTAGCAGATGTAAATGAGCTTATAAATAGGTTACCATATTTTGAAAAGCAAAAAAGAGCACATATTTTCCGAATGACTACTTCAAACGAGTGACCGCTATGACAAATCTCATTTTAAATACCCGTCCTATTTAAGCTGTGATAATTGCTACTAATTAGGAATATATTCCTAAATCTTCCAAAAAGAGAACATTGACATCAGTTTTTTAAAAGAGCCCAAAAGAAGGGAGACCCCCCCCAAAAAAAGGACATCTGGTAAACTTAAATAAAAGTATAGATGTCATCTCTCCTCCTAGCTTGCATTGAAAGATTCCCTATGAAGAAAGATTAAAGCGCTTGGGGCTCTTTAGCTTGGAGAAATGACTGCTGAGGGGTGACATGATCAACATTTATAACATTATGCATGGGAAAGAGCAGGTAGAGAAAGAGGTACTTTTCTCTCTTTCTCACAATACAAGAACTCGTGGGCACTCCATGAAATTGCTGAGCGGTTGGGTTAGAACGGATAAAAGGAAGTCCTTCTTCACCCAAAGAATGATAAGCACATGGCATTCACTGCCACAGGACGTGGCAGCGGCTACAAACATGGACAGTTTCAAGAGGGATTTGATAAATATATGGAACAGAGGTCCATCAGTGGCTCTTAGCCACAAGGCATAGATAGGAACTCTCAGGCTGGGGCGAGGGATGCTCTGTATTCTTGGTGCTTGGGGGGGTGGGGACAACAGTGGGAGGGCTTCTGGTGTCCTGGCCCCACTGCTGGACCTCCTGATGGCACCTGTTTTTGGCCACTGTGTGACAGAGGGTTGGACTAGATGGGCCATTGGCCTGATCCAACATTGGCTTCTCTTATGTCCTT